CTTTGCAAGAACCTGATTTAGACATCAAGCATATCAAAGGCAAAGACATCGTCATTGCGGATACATTGTCCCGAGTTGTTTGAATGTGATCAGTTCTGACTGCAAACACATTTTGAATTTTTGTAAACATTTCTCTTAATTATCATGTATAATGAATATTATCATGTACATTACTTCAGAAAGTGTCATATGGCAGTGTATTTATTCTTGAACAAGGACTGTAACTATGTAACATTGTTTTTGTTGAGATTCGGTAGACACTCATTGCATTCTTCTGGTCTGGTAAAAGGCAGACGTTGATAGTATAAATTAAACCTATCATTTTATATGGTTCAGATATTTGGGGTGTTAATAAATGGTTGTTGCTCGAACGTTTTCAAGTTTTGTAAATTTGTTTTGATATCTCAGTTGAACAAGATGCAGTCCAGAGAACAATAAGGGCTTCAAATATCAAGAAAATATTGTTTTCTTTCGGTTATGGTTTCGTTTGCGAATCTCAAGGTGTTGGTGAGACTGAATGAATCTGTAAGGGTGAAGATTGCCATACACAAATATGGTATTCTGAGGTGTCGAGTTATTCAAAATTAGAATTAAAGTCAGTGTTAAAGACTTTGCTTACATCAGAACCATTCTTGTTAAGTATATTATCTAAAGAAAATAGGTGTATGTTTGGTATATTTAGAATTGGTGAACTGGAAAGTAGGCATAATATTGGGAGGAGAGCGGGCAGCGATAAGAGACTTTGGAATTGTCCATTATGTAACTTACATGTAATTGAAACTGAAATTCATGTTAATATACATTCAAAATATTTCCCATTTTCAATGTCCATGCTTATGCTAATCCTTTCTAAAACATTTAGCAAATTACAATAAAAACACTTCACAATTGTAAATATTTGCTGTTGCGCGGGTGTTCAAAAACTTCCATTGATGACCTAATCCTAAAGTAAATGACTGATTGGTTGATTACACATAATTCTGAAGAAGCTAAAGTCCCGCTCGATATCCCTGGATAAGCACTCCAGGTAGACAGTTTGGAAGGACCTGAAAGGTTCAACAGAAAGTAAACTCCTGCAGATGTCTGCGATGGCTAGCAGGCCAGTTATGAGGAGGTTCCCGTTATTTCAATGGAAGCCAACCCAGAAGCTGTATGCCAAGAGGCACTGGGCCACACTCACAAAGGCTGGTCTGGCTAATGTGAGAGGATGAACCAATGCCAAGCTGGAGTGGGACTCACTTCTTCCTGGTTCCTGTCCTTCCCTTGATAATATAGAAGGAAAAGGGGGATTCATTGCAAGTGACTCTGAACTTTTGACTTTTGACTGTGGTCAGAAGGTGCTCTCAAGCGAACAGTTTTCATGCTCTGTTATGAGTATTGAAGATTAGGAGGAACTTGTATACTGCATAGGGAACCATCATGTGAACACTGTTCAATGTGTAATACGAGTGCATTTATGAATAAATAAATTGATACTTTGTTTGTTGTTTTGTTTTTCATTAGACAGTTGTGTAAATGGTTATATTTCAAATTTGCCTCAGTTTGACAGCAACATATATATTTCCTTAGACCTTGGAAAGTTTGATGTCACATTGATCTGTTATATCAAGGGTCAAGCTCATGACCAGACAAACAGTTTGTTTCTTGTCACCTCTTTCATTTACGAGTGACAAATCAGCCTCTTTGTTCAAAAGTAACTCTGCCACTTCTTTTTGTCCCTTTTCTTCTTCTACTTGTCATCCATGCCCTGTGAGGGGACATACTTCACCATCTCAGTATCACCTCCCCGACCTGGCAAGTAAAGGATGTTCTCAACTCTTTGATCTACGAGTGACATATCAGCTCCTTTACCCACAAATAAATCAACCACTTCGCTATGTCCATTCTCTACTGCCAGCACCACTGGTGTTCTCCCGCACTATGCTCTATTATTGATACCCACCATGGCCTGTGAGAGGGCATACTTCACCAGCTTCACATTTCTCCCAAACAGGCCAAGTGAAGAATGTTAACGTTGCTATGAGTTACAAATCACCTCTTTTATTTACGAGTAACTCTACCACTTCTTTTTGTCCCTTTTCTGTTGCTGCCACCAACACCTGTCTTCTTCTGTCACACTTTACTGTGAGAGGACATACTTCACCAACTCCACATTCTCTCCCCGACCGGTCAAGTGAAGGATGTTGTCAACCGAATATACCGACGAATGACACATTAACTACTTATGAGTAACTCAACCAATGTTCTATGTCCTTCACCAGATGCCTGGTGTCCTACCAATCCACTCTTAATGTCTGCTCTTCCATGGGACAAGATGACCTTCATCCTTGACAGGCCCCCAGCCTTGGAGGCACTATGGACGTCGCAAAACGATTTGGCTGCAACACAATGTTTTACTCAGTATCCTCCCATTATTTACGCGTCCCACTTGTCACACACCTTAAAACAACATCGCTCATGGCTGAAGGCCCTGACTGGTCTACCCTATGTTACCTAAGTATCAGAACAGAGTGGTCCAAGAAAAGCAGAAAAGTAAACTTGCACTTTATTTATGTGAAGGATAGGCACACAAAGACATATCATGCCATAAATATATAAAAATTCTTTATTGGCACTGGTAGTAGATCTGAATAGTCTTTGTTTACTCCAACCCTGCATAGAAGCCTGTAGCATCCAGGAACTGGAGTGGAGTTTTGAGTACCTTGCGAAGCTGATCTTTCAATCCCTCCAGACGGTTTTCAGACTCTCTGAAAACTCTCTTGCGGTTGGGTGCAGCTGCCTCCAAATGAATCTGGGACATCTTAGCTCGGTCAGCCCTCTCGATTATCTGGATAACTTCAATGAAGCGGTAGATGTTCGGATGGTCATGGCGAAGCTGATCTTTCAATCCCTCCAGACGGTTTTCAGACTCTCTGAAGACTCTCTTTCGGTTGGGTGGGGCTGCTCCCTAATCAATCTGGATCATCTTAGTGCGGTCAGCCCTCTCGATTATCTGGATAACTTCAATGAAGCGGTAGATGTTCGGATGGTCATGGCGAAGCTGATCTTTCAATCCCTCCAGACGGTTTTCAGACTCTCTGAAGACTCTTTCGGTTAGGTGGAGCTGCTCCCAAATCAATCTGGGACATCTTAGCGCGGTCAGCCCTCTCGATTATCTGGATAACTTCAATGAAGCGGTCGATGTTCGGATGGTCATGGGGTAGTTCTCGATTGAGTCGGTTGTGAAATCCTTCAAGATCGTTGTTGGTGCTTGGTCCTGTTGTCTGGTTATGGTGTTATTAAGGTGAAAATGCATCCCCAAAACCTAAGAAACTTATAACATGGTTATAGCTTTAACAACGATGGAGATAGAAAGCCGACGTGTTGGCGCAACCAAGCAGGACATCAATAGGGCGATGATAGTGACAGGATATTTCCGGATAGCTTTGGTGGTGTTGTCGCCAATTAATCCATTGACATCTTTAATTGGCTCATGAGTTCATGGTATGATATTGTTCTTAACCAATTAAAATTATCTATGTCAAGGACAGACCAGGCCCAAACACTTTAAAATCATACAGTCAACATTAGGAGTGGAGAGTGCGGTTTCCAGTCTATCGAGTAGAACCCTGATCGTTCTAAGTTCTCCCCATTTAGTGACGAGCCTGGCTGGTCTGATCCTGTCGTGTATTGATAGATGGACTGAGAGTAAGTAAACCTAATGTGAGTATAAAGCTGGTGTTGCGTTTCTTTATTATGCGAGTATATATGCTGATGGAGACAATAGGGAGGAAACGTCATTAGTCCAATCACTCCTTGACTGATGCTGACAAGGCGTGCTGCAAAGTCATGGCTTAACTGACCATCATGACCAGGAACGGCAATGCGTTTAGGTAACTGTAGTAGGGTCCCACTTGACTCCCGAAAGCAGTTACGACAATGGTTCCAAAGATGAAGATGAGCCAAGATCCTGTGTCTTCCTCCATACTGCTTGGCTGAAGTGGAATTAGCAGCCCTTCACTTAAGCATTTGGGAACTCAGACTGAACAGTGCGAATTGCAACCAGTTCAAAGTCGTACAACTCATGCATGTTGGTTATCTCCCCTCTGGCCCTCTTCCTCAAGTTGCTCAGAAACTTCAGACGGTCGGCATCTTCACGGGGATGGGTGTGGCATCTTCACGGGGATGGGTGTGGTCTGTGATATTCCGTACAAAGTTTCCGACTGTTGTACATTTTCCTTTGCAGGCTTTATGGATGCATCTCCAGTGTTGACAAGTCTGTCGAGTTGTGCTCTTGTTGTACAAGTAATTTTTAAACAGAACCTGTTGTGTGCCTCGTGTGCCTCGCATACTCTACTAACCTTAAACCCGCCATGGTTATGTGAGTCATGCTGTTGTTGCTTTAAGTGTTTAAGATGTCGCCTTCTGCCTTCGCAATTCCGGCTGACCTGTCGCTCTTTGGGGCTCATGTGTGTAGGATACACAAATCTATTGCGAGTTTTAGTATTCATAAATTTCTGTTTTTGTATTGATATGATTTCATTTTTAACTTTGGCTGCTCTGTTAATATACGTTCGAGTAGCCGAGCCGGCATGGTCTTGACATTCTAGATAGTAACAAGTGAGTAATGAATTCAGACTGATTGCAAGATGGACATACCTAGTTATCTGCTTTTTGTGAACGAGTCTGAGACGTGAGATGGCTATTTCAACTTTATTTGGCTTGCCATCTTTGGGCCTTGGAGGCTTTGATTTTGCTTTTTATCTCTAGTTTACTAAAGGGAATAGGCTGTATCCCCGCTTTATCTAGAGCTGGCTTCGCCAGTGTGTCTGCTTTTTTCATTTCCATGAATATCTATGCGAGACGTGATCCAACAGAGCTCCACCTGTTGACCTTGGTCCGATAGTTTTGTATATTCGTATAGAATATCATTGACTGTGTTTGGCCTGGACTGTATGTAGCTTGAAGTGCACTTAGCGAGTCTGATAGGACGACTGTCTTTGCTTCCGGTAGTTCCGGTAGGAGTTTGAGTGCATGATGACCGAATGTGCATGGGGTTTGAAGCTATGGATACGGACCCCTTACCCAGCAGTGTATATATGGGCCCAGCTGTCCCAGGTAGTTTGAATCTTATTGATAGCTACTGACCCCACATGAGCCGGCAAACCGTCTGTAAAAAGTTGTTACTGACCTAATATGAGACCGTATACCGCCAGTAACAGCCATCTTGAATTTTCCAACACCCACTTCACATATTTCACATGAAAATTCAGGTACAGAAATTCGTTATTCTACACTGTTTTGTGTTTTTGGGTTTCATAACATAAATTGTGATGTGCAAGGACGTTAATCTTTTTTAAATCACGTTCGTGACTTTATTTATAAGATTATAATTAAAATTGTCAACAAGGTTTGGCCTCTAAGGTTTGAAGAGTTAGTTCCCTTTGACCCTTAACATCAGCGCACTAAGCTTAGCAGACTAATGCGATATGGCTAGCACATAGTGTAAATATTTCGGCATAATACATTCATTATTGTGTCTTTAGTGGTTGTAAACGGTGTCATACTAGGTTAGCAGAAACACATTGTACATATGTTCATGTACTTCGTCTAACGATAACGATAATAATGAACACAGGATGATAATGATAATCACATCTGTCATCACATTGGTGCCCTATCAATTCATCAATCTGGACTTGCAAATTTACTATTAGTGTAACTTGAGAAGATGGGAAGCAGCACTGGCATAGAGGATCACGTCCATCTCTCCTCTCTCCAGTTTCTTTCCCGGTACTTGTAGTTCTTGAAGGTGGGTGGTTCTCTGCTGTCCACTCTCCTTCACGGAGAGAGTTGACAATAATAATATAGTGAAACATACAATTTAAAGGTATTTATTTAATTACGAAATGCAGCTTCTTAAATAATATGTTATAATGTATTTATGTATTAAACATTTTTTTCCATTTCAAAACACTTTTTTATATATGAAAGATACTTTTATGTGAACTTGTCTCCGGTTCTTGACACAAGGTCGTTTACAGTTGTGGCCGTGGCTCTACAGTCTTTGTTGGTTATTTAGCCTATACGTACAAGACTAGATAATAAATAATAATGCTGTTACGAATGGATTCATTACACAGTCTCCATCTGTAACAAAAAGAGATCACACAATTTGAGAAAAGTTTCTGGCAGTGAATAAAATTAAATGTCTTACTTGTGACTAAAATATTGCCCCATATTCCAACAAGATCCAACGAATTTCATATCGCAAATAAATAAATCCATAAAAAACAGTTGCTACATTCACCAGTACAACCTGGGTTTACACTTTGACTATTTTCCTCTGATGTTAACTCGAATTACAGAACGTCTTTAATCCTTCTGAGTAAAATAATTAATCTGTTTCTTGCTTTTGGTAATCCTCGTGATCGGTATAATCAGTGGTCTTGTATTGCTAAACAACTATGGGAGTATACTCAGGAGATGAAGTATTTTCTTTTATAAATCTCTTACGACTATTTTTGTTTTAGATCAGTTACCTTCATAAATATGTGACTATGTAGGCGAACTGCACTGTAGGCGAAAGTAGACCTAACCATACAGAGCTGCGAAGACCTTCTGGAATAAATCGGAACATTACTTCCAAATACACTGCAGATATGATGGAAATTTAACATCGAAAATAAATTTACTTTTGACACAAGAACCATAAATGTTTGAATACAATAAAATTTGAGAAAATTAAGCTTAAATGCAATTTCAATTGATGTTAGCTTTTAAACTCTTATAATTAAAAGATAAGTATATTTATTTGTGTTAATGTTATCCAGTTAAGTTGATTAAAATATAACTGAATATGTTCTCTTGTACATTTTACATTACATCACTGCACATATTAACAGTTGCAGTAGCTTGTCTTGTCTGTCTGTTCAGGATTAACAATGATGATCACACAGCCCCGCGCTCAAATTCACTTGGCCATGACGAGGCCATTACCGCCATGTAATTACATTTAGTGCAGTCCATTCCGACACTGGGAAGCCAGCTTGGCGCGTCTACTTCCGCCTACAGTGTTACCAAAACCACTTTATGTACCATGTGTCCATGGATCAGCAGCCTCCACGTGCACACGGCGTCCCAGAAGTGCACTGCAGGTACATGCAATCCTTGCCGAAGTTCACATTGGAGTCATTGTTGTCCCCTGGTCACACACTGTGTGCAACCATGTTCGCATAATGCAGTGCCGCGGCAGATGTGGGTCACGTCGTGTCTGTTGACGAGAGTATGTCATGTGGCCCAGTAAATACACATGCAATATGTCACTGTTCCGCGCCCTGGGGAAGTGAACTGAGCAATACCCCCAGATTTACTGTGCGATATGACCACCTGTCCTGGTGTCTCCCAGCTCCCAGTGCAGTTTGCTATGTAATCGACATGTATAATAGAAGATGAGGATATTTTCAAGTGAAAATTATACTACGTATTTCGGGTGGATACATTCAGTGACCAACTAGACCTACGAAGAAGCATAAACATGTAATGATTAAAGGAAACACTTTAATAAAAAAACACAAAAACATCAATACAAGCACACCCACTCACACAACCCCGACTCCGCATGTCCTTGAATGTATCCGTACTCATAGGCATGCATACATACATACACAGCCCTCGCATCGTTCCCACCCATAACCCTACAACCACCTCACTATATCTACAACCACCTTACTATATATACAACCACCTCACTATATCTACAACCACCTTACTATATCTACAACCACCTCACTATATCTACAACCACCTCACTATAATTACAACCACCTCACTTATATCTACAACCACCTCACTTATATCTACAACCACCTCACTATATCTACAACCACCTTACTATATCTACAACCACCTCACTTATATCTACAACCACCTCTCTATATCTACAACCCCCTTACTATATCTACAACCACCTCACTTATATCTACAACCACCTCACTATATCTACAACCACCTCACTATAATTACAACCACCTCACTTATATCTACAACCACCTCACTTATATCTACAACCACCTCACTATATCTACAACCACCTTACTATATCTACAACCACCTCACTTATATCTACAACCACCTCTCTATATCTACAACCCCCTTACTATATCTACAACCACCTCACTTATATCTACAACCACCTCACTATATCTACAACCACCTTACTATATCTACAACCACCTCACTATATATACAACCACCTCACTATATCTACAACCACCTCACTATATCTACAACCACCTCACTATTATTACAACCACCTCACTTATATCTACAACCACCTCACTTATATCTACAACCACCTCACTATATCTACAACCACCTCACTATAATTACAACCACCTCACTTATACCTACAACCACCTCACTTATATCTACAACCACCTCACTTATACCTACAACCACCTCACTGATATCTACAACCACCTCACTTATATCTACAACCACCTCACTATATCTACAACCACCTCACTATAAATACAACCACCTCACTTATATCTACAACCACCTCACTATATCTACAACCACCTCACTATATCTACAACCACCTCACTTATATCTACAACCACCTCACTATATCTACAACCACCTCACTTATATCTACAACCACCTCACTATATCTACAACCACCTCACTATATCTACCACCACCTCACTATATCTACCACCACCTCACTATATCTAGTCAACCCTCGTGTATCCGAACTCATACTCCAAGTTTGTGTCCAAGGTCCAAGAGCGTAAGTTGTGCCCTCGGATGGTTCAGGGTGGACGCCGGAAGACAACACTCAGGTGTGAGGTTTAAGACGACAGCTGCCATGTGTATTGTTAATGGGCTGAAAGGCGGGGTTCGTAGCCTGGAGTCCACTCAATGACTAGGATTAGGGTTTTTTGGTGTGTTTTTTTATTTGGGCGCTGTGCAGGGCTGATACTATAACCTTTTGGAATTTGGTGTTGTGTTTAGTTTTAAATCATTAAGGTTGTGTGTGTTTACGTAGTTTAGTATGCGTTGGGAAATGAAGGTTTTTGCGAAGCAGCGTTTGCAGTGATGTGCGCGGTATGCCTTTTTGTGTGCATGTGATTATTATCTTTAGTGCTTGATATTAGATTGAGATTAGTTTATCGCTTAATGATGAGTTTAGGGTGTTGTATAATGATAGTAGGGTCTCCTTGGAGGCCCCCCAGTTGAAACCTTGTCAGGCAGCGTGGTTTGTTTAGGTCTTTACTGCATCTATTTTTTAGATATTTAATGTGAGCACCACAGGTTAGATTTTCATCAAAGATTAGTCCAGATATTTGGTCTGTTTGGGGAATTGTATGGGATTATTGTTAAGTTGTAGTTTGGGAGTGTTTGCACGCATATTTTTGTGTTTGAATACTGTCCCTGTAGTTTTTTCGGTATTCAGTGAGAAGCCCATTTATTTGCCCATATTTGAAGTTTGTTTAATTGTTTAATGCCTTCTGCAATAATTTTTAGCCATATTTATGCTTCTGGTGCGGATCCAGAGGGCTCCGTCATCCGCGTATTTAGAAGTTATTTGATATTCCCTCAAATAGGTCATTAATCATACGGGGGCACGGGTGGCCCAGTCGTCTAAGGCGCCGCGATTCGCTGTGCAGAGTTGCGTCCCTTGGGCACGCCAGAAACCTATGATTGTGGGTTCGAGTCCCGGTTCGCCCCGATTATGTTTCTAGGTTTGTCAGCACCACACCCGTGCCCGTGGGTTTCACCGAAGTGGTAAACGTCTGAGACCTGCATCACTTCGAGCTTTCCTCCCACATTAAGCTGACACGCCGCGATATAACTGGAATAATGTTAAACCAAACTCACTCACTCACTCATTAATCATACTGTTGAAAAGTGTTGGGCTTAGAATGCTGCCTTGGGGTGTGCCATTCTCTAGGGGACACTGAACCGATAACGTTTGCTCGATTCCCACGGTTATTTTACGATTTGTTAGGAAGTCTTGTATATAGTTTATTATGTGGCCTTGACTTTTTGAGTTTTTGTATTAGCCCGTTATGCCATACCATATCCAAAGCTTTAGAGAAATCTAGGAATAT